CATACCACACCCCGCAGTCAAACTCACCAGCATCTGTTCAGTCTCCACAGCACGACCAGCACGGCCGGCCAATCTATGGACAACCGCCCAGCCAGATGCCTCAATCAATGTACTACACACCCTATGCTTCGGCGCCAGTTCCCCAACAGTCACCCTACCAGCAGCATCCTTCAAGCGCGCCACAGCAACCAATGGCGACGCAATCGCTGCTCATGTCCCACCAGCAAAACCAGCAGATGCAGCATCAGCAACAGCAACAACATCAGCAGCATCATCCCCAAACTCCTGGAATGACCGGAAGCCCCAAGTCGCGCATGTCGCAGACGCCACTTCAACGGCCACCGTCAGGACTCGGCCCGCCTCAAGCTCCGCCTCAAGGCCCTCCCGTCGGCACCCCCAACATGCACGCTGGCCCTCCCGGAGGACCCAATGTCAACCCTAATGCCGCGCCTGGTCCCATTCCTGCCACCACTCCCCTTGTTGTGCGACAAGACCAGAATGGTGTGCAATGGATCGCGTTTGAGTACTCTCGCGACAGGGTCAAGATGGAGTACACCATCCGCTGCGATGTCGAGTCTATCAATGTTGACGAGCTGCCGCAAGACTTCAAGACCGAGAACTGTGTATACCCTCGCGCTTGCTGCGCCAAGGATCAATACAAAGGCAACCGTCTTCACTACGAGACTGAATGCAACACCGTCGGCTGGGCTCTGGCGCAGTTGAACCCTTGCCTGCGCGGAAAGCGTGGTCTCATCCAGCGCGCCGTCGACAGCTGGAGGAACAGCAACCAAGACCCCCGACTAAGGAGCCGACGCGTGCGCAGAATGGCCAAGATGACCACAAGGAAAGCCCAATCGGCTAACCATGGTAACCACATGGCTGGACCAGGTGGACCAGGTGCTCCCGGTGTTCCCAACTCTGCCGGATTAGCAGCACCGCCCCGACAACCGAACATGGGCATGGGCGGCCCTCAGATGCACCATCACCATGATGGACCTGGAGGGCCCCACGGAGGACCAGATGACGTTAGCGGTATGTTTCACCAGATGTGATGTGATAAGGCGCAATTGTTGTTGGCTGTTAAATGATACCTCTGTCGTTCTTTCTCCATGTACATTACATACTCCTTGATGTAATACCCCTTCGATACCACTGCCCCATGCATGCTTGCATATATACCCACCCCATAGTTACACATGTTTTTGGTTCAGCAGCGCAGGACGGGAAGTAGAGACATGTTTGGACGTGCAAGCTAACTCTCTTTGTGTACAGCCAATGAATACGGTGAATCACACACTCACCATCACCAAGCGCCAAACGGTCAATCATCATCACCTACCGACGGGCGGCCCGCTCAGAGCTTCTACCCGAATTACCCATCGAGCGACTCCGTCGCAGGCTCCAGCGGCATGCCGCCGATTCACGACAGCCTGAGCCACCCTCCGCCTCCATCGCACGCAGCGGGTGTGCCCGTTTCAAAGCAGCAAGAGCAAGACGAAGAAGAGCGAAAGCTAGCCATGTTTGGCGACTTACCTGACTCGAAGCGCCGCAAATTCATCCTTGTAGATGATGCGCAACGAGGAACTAGGGTTCGCGTGCGAGTTACTCTCGACACGGTCAAGATGGAGGAGATGCCTGATTCTTACCGCAAGTCCAACTCGGTATTCCCTCGTAGCTATTTCGCCATGCAAATGACCTCTCCACCTGCCAGCCCTCGTGGCAGCAAGGTCTTTGCTGACGAGCCCGATGTTGAGAGCGACCCGAGCTTCCCTCTGGCTGGCTCTACTGTTGTGCCTGTTCCAACGCTGGATGGCGAGACTCGTGTGCCGAAGCCGCGTCTTACTCGTGCGAAGCGGTCGAAGGAGATTACGCTCAATGATCTTGGTTACCGCATGAGCTGGAGCCAGAGTCGTGTTTTCGCAGGAAGGACATTGTTTCTGCAAAAGTCTCGTAAGTCAATGGCTCGGTACGAAGAAGAACGTTTTACTAACCTTATCAACAGTTGATGCCTACCGCAACAAGATGAGAAGTAGCATGATGGGCCAAGGTCAAGATGTGACCCAAGTAGCCCCACATTTCGAGACTCGTGTTGGAAAGAGGCGATGGAACGAGAGAATCGAGAAGAGCAAGAAGGCGAGGCGCGATGGCTCTCCTTAAGAAGTCTCAGGCCACATGCTCCAAACGGATGCCCTGGTTGCAGGCAGCCGCCCCGTTGACCCACTTTCTCGGCACTTGCAGGGAGCCCCTACGAACGACCGGGGTTGACAACCCTTTTCGACTCGGCACCAAATCCTTCGCGACAGGCCCGGCTGTTGCTTACACCCATGTTTCATCGTGGCTGTATTGGGTTTCAGACTGGTCGTTCATCTGCCGATGACTGCTTCTCTCTCTTTTCGATACTTCTCGGCCACCCACCACCGTCTTGATACCCGTCGGCAAGTTATGATCTCTTGCGACATACTCGGTCGGTTTTCGGTCTGTTCTTTCCTGTCTGTTTATAGCGTGTTGAGCGATCATCCCTTGTGCGAATGGACTTTGGCGTCTGCGGTAAAAAGAGACAAGGAAGCATCTAAAAGCATGACTCAGGACGCTGTCTATGGCATGAGGAAGGAGTCTTGTCGGCTATGATTGCGTCTTCGGATATGTTTATATTGCGCATGTTTTGTCAGTATTCGGTAGATGGGCTAGTTGTTGCTACCCTGGACATATAATAGACATTTCAAAAACAAACATGCAGTCTGACATTAAGTGATTTCTCGCGAGTGTTTACAGCCCGGCAAAAGTCCAGAGTAAATTGCCCTCTTCGAAACCTTGGAAGAGGCGTTTTGTGTATCATCGAGAGACCCGGAGGATGCATCCCAGATGCAGCGAGCTGACCAGTTCGCCCGCAATCCTTCAAAGCACCGAACGAGAAGAGAACCCACACGAACCGCTCAGTAGCCACTCACGATTACTCACAGCGGTACGCCACGCAAGCCTTTCCATGCATGCTCGACGTGATATTGTCCGAGACAAATAAATCACGTCGATAGTCGTTCGGTCGACCTACTCTCCCCTAGGGACATCCCTCCCCCATACGTTCGCAAAGCGGAAGGCGGACAGGTGACAGGCCGGGAGAGCCTGGTCTCGCGTGGCTGAATACCACTCATGTCTACGCGTTGCGTGCCTGGTGCCTGACTACCCAGCTCAGGCACACAAGGATGATTTGCTTTTCAGGGTGGGTAAGGTGTGGGTAGTAAGGGGCGAGGGGGGGGGGCGCACCGCACGCAACAGGGCAGGGTATCAGAGAAGGCCAGGCACACGACTGCAACGCAATGCAATGTTGTGCGACGCGACGCGACCCGACGGTTGTTGGGGTGTGTGGGCAGAACAGGCTGATTGCGGTTTAGACACGATTGCCGGAACGGCTGGCCGTTGGAGACCGAAATTACCCATGCATGCATGTGGCATGTGGCACGCGAGACGAGGTACGCGCGGAAAGGACCCCAACCAACCCAACTGCTGCCAACCCCCCCGAAAGGCGTCGAGAACGGTAAAACCGTTACGAACTTAGGAGTAGTCGGAAAAGGCCCCCCTCCCTCCCTCCCTCCCTCCCTCATCCAAAGCAACGTAAGAAAAACTCTCCGAAGTTGCAGCGATGGTGCTTGGAGGGCATGTCACATTGGGCGGGATATGCCTAGTTGGCTTGTCAAAACTAAACCAGAGATGGGCTGACATATCGTCGCTTTTCGCGCTGACGGCAGTTACCAAGGCTCTTGGTATACTCGTGTGTGAAACTGATGCTTTTCTCCGTCTGCGCACTCTACCTGCAACAATTCACTTTTCTAATCGACGCCTTCTGTCCCGTCTCGCAGTATCCCAGATCAATCCTCCGCAAGACCAATTCCGCGCCTACGCAACCCACATCAAAGACTCTCGTCATCATCCCATCCACTCACGGCCGCCCCGATTGCTAATACCAAGAAGAACCGAACTCCCAAGACCTTTCTCCACTGCAAGTCTGCAACCTAGAAAAGTGAACTAACTAATCCGAACCAACTATGTCGCTAGCTAGTAGCTACTCCACTTTCTCAAAAAAACTCCGGGCACCCAAAGCTAGCCAGTCACAAGTTGGTAACGCCCACTTTCCGGCACTAAAAACAGCTAACCCGACGTTAACGTTAATCTTCGGCGCGACTTGCCAAAACGTTGAAAGTAGTAGCACCGCCGACCGTTTTTTTGCTGCGTCGTTGATGCTCGTTTCCCCGTCTTGGCTCTCGTGTGCAGGATGGTTGACTGAGCTCGTCCTTTTTCTGTTAATAAGCGTGCAGCGCCGTTGAGTGAATGAGGCTGACTGGCTGGTCGCGTGAGCTAATGAGCTAGTATTTAGCCATTGCGGGGCAAAAAAGCTTTGCCTTTCACTATTGACAACTGCTAGGGCGTTTACTACATACTACTGTAGATGAGACTTTTGGACGCGTCGAGATTCGGGTTCTAGGAAGGCGTTTGGGCGGTTTGCTGTCATGCGCTTAGGAGAGTGGGGGGAGGCAGGTGCGTGAACGGGGACGGAACTGGTCTGTCTGGCCGATTCGGTGGCTTTGATAAGATGCAGCGCATCGTCATTTCGCTGTTTGCGGTCTTTGGTGATCTGGATGCTTTTACTGTGAGTAAGCTGTGGATGGGTTGGCTAGCTGGGGCTTGTTCGTTTGGCTTTTACGCAAGAGACATTTGACATGTTCGATAAGCCAAAGCGTGATACCATTTGAGACTTTGTACCAGCTTCTTGTTACCACTAGCTAAGCAAGAACCGTATAGAGTTTCGATGAATGATAGAAGTGTAGCTAGTGCGAAGCATATCGCGACTTCATGCGAGTAGACGAAGATACGGATACTTCGATACATCCTGCTCTGCAAGAGACATCTCCACTGCTAAACCCTCTTGCGACATGGGAGTCCCATTCAAGGTACATCGTGCAAGGCGTAGCTCTCAGGTAGTCACCGTGATACCGGTTCCATGCTTCTCATCTCATAGTCTTTCTCGCGCGCCTCCCACTCTGCCCGGCCATACCCTGAGCATGCTCCGGCATCTCAACTGCGGTCACTGCACGTGCGCGACTGCCACCGTCTGTCCCTCTTGATTTCATAAGCCTTTCCTGCTCTTGCGTCAGTCTCAGTCTCTCTCGATCCGCCTCATGCACAATAACGCCGTCGATGACGCTGTACTTACTGATGTCCGGGTCATCGTAGTCGTCCGAGTCGTCTTGTACTATGGGTCGAGCAGCGCGAGACTTGGCAAGATACCTGTCACCATTGAAGCGAGAATCTGTCCATGAACTCAATCCAGCGCCGTGTTTTGGGGATGTGATCTCAGGATCTGAAACGTCGGCCAGCATTTCTACGTCCTCTGCAGCGTTGCTAGCGGTGCTAGGCGCGGGAGTGATGGACATGGCCCGCATGCCACCTCTGACTTGCTCGAAAATCCCAGCTTCAGCTGTTGCTCTCTCGCGCTGGTTCGCTTCATCGATAGCAATGCTGGTCCGAGTTTCTAATTCGGCTTCGCTAAGTTGGGTGATCTTTGCAGACGCGTCAATTTTGGCCTTTCGGGGTGAGCGCGATACGGTTGCTCCTTGAGTCTTTAACGTAATGATTTTGGACTTCTGAGACGCAGGTGTCGGTGTAGATGGTGTCGTCGGCTGAGGCTTTCTGGTGGGCACACGCGGTGGGGTGGTCGGTAATGCCGCATCAGTTTGGCTGTTGACCTTGGGTTTCGATTTTTGCAAGCTCGTGAAGCCAAAGCCATTTTTTCCCTTGTTATACACACCTTTTGAGGCAAGAGCTGGTGGTAGTGGCGGAGGAAGTTTAGCCTTCTTGGTCGCCGGCCTAGATGTCTGCTTCTTTGCAGGCTCAGGAGCATCGTCCATCATGACAGGGGAACTAGGCTCCTCATCATCAGACGGCGGGGCATAGTCACTCTCCTCATCGCTGCTGAGATCCACCACCTTCCGCTTGCCTCTGCCTGAACGCGAGGAAAATGAAGTATGCGATACGACTGACGCATCGCGTTGACTTTGCGAAACACTCGAGGCGCGATTAGTAGGAGTAGAGGTAGATACCTGCGACCCAGCCCGAACACCCCTAGCAACCGCAACACTGTCTTTGGTGGCACTGGCTGGAAGGAACGGCCTTCTGAAGCTGGGCGTCTTAGGAGTGGTAGGGGTAAGTGGCTCTGCGGTTGGGGTGCGAGGGCTCTCTTGAGTGGATACGAGGCCAGTATCTTGAGGTGATGGAAGCATATTTGGAGTGTGCTGCTGTGGTCTTGTTGGAGCTTTGTATACGTTAGCTAAGTCACTATAAGATCGAAGACAGCAAGCTTACTACGCGGAGCTTCATGCATCATCGTGTCCATACCATTCGAAACCGATTTACGAAGGTCGCTCTCCAAGTTTTTGGTTGCATGATCCGGGACAGAGTCAGGACCAAACCTGTCTCCACGTCCAAGGTCTTGCGAAGACTCGATTGAGCCATTCAAATAGTAAGCATGGCCTTCCTTTCGCAAAGCTTCTTGGTCGTCTCGAGGAAGGCCATGGAACGCTGATTCCCGGAACATCGATGGCTGGCCTGGTTGGTAGCCTACACTTTGTTGCGATTGAAACTTGTCTTGCTGGTGGCCTTGAGAGAACCTCGAATGAGCGAAACCGTTCGTCGGCTGTAGGCCTTGTGAAGCAGAAATTGTGGGGGTGGCCCACGGAGAGGAGGCCGATAATGGTCTACCTCCAGGATTGAATGCTGTTCCTTGACGGGCATCTGGCATGCGAGGCACATTCGCCCAGTTGCCAAAACCCACGCCCCCGACCAGGTTCCGCTGTGTACTGAGAACAGCTGCCGGCGCATGCTGAGAGGCGATGGAGGTCGAGACGTGCACACCGGAAGTATTACTGTTACTTGTACATAGCGCAGGCGGTTGTGTAGATGGGTGTGAGGGTTGCTTAGTAAAGACGTGATGTTCATGCTTCAACTGCTCTGGCTTTGGCCTGTCCTATATCAATCAGTCTTAGAACAAGAATGCTTTTGTTATTTGCCGACTTACCACGTTTCCGATTTTGTCAGATAAGCCGGGAGGGTCTTTCGCGACAGGTCCTTGCCCAGCTATCTTGAAAATAGGCTTCTCCTTTACCAACACTGGTTCATCATCATCCTCGTCGGAACAAAGATCAATGATCGTGACAGCGGCCTTTTTGTTCTTGGGTCCTGCTAGCGGTGTGGTTGTGTTGCTCCCTGGCTTGGATATGGACGGTGCTTTGGCTCTGGGCGCCGGCGTCTTCTTGATAGTGGGAGCAGCTCTCGGTGGTGCAGCAGCTACCCGGCGATTTGCTTGACTCTGGACACCCGTATTAGGCCCGACAGCCGTGTTGCCAACCTTCTTCTTCTCCTTATCTGCTGCCGCCTTGGTCTTGCTCCAGAACTCTTCCTCTTCTTTCTTGTGTTTTGCGAGAATAATTGCTCGCTCCTTGTTGACGTTGTCCTGAAACTTGGCAAAAGACTCCGTCGCGTACCGTTGGAAGCCCTTAAGTTCAGCTTCGTGCTTTTGTCGGAAAGTGAGCCACTGTTTGTCTGCAGCACTGACCTCGGGGGGTTTCGATGCCATGCTGAGAGTCGCAACGCGCTGAAGTCAAGGCAAAGATATTAAATACTGTGAGGTAAGAGAGTTCGTTGCGAGCGGGAGAAGGTGGGTAGATGGAGTGGTGATATACCAGCTTGGACAAGGTGAAGGTGAGTGAGAGATCTGCGCGATTACAAACGGGACCAAGGTAAAGGCGCAACTCATGGTGACCACAGATTTGAGGATGCGTAAGTAAGGTAAGACCTCTATGTTCATGGCTTAGGCTTGCAGGTAGGGTGCCTTGAATGATAGGTAAACGGAACGCCGAGACGCAAACGACGAGAGTATCCACTTTTGACCTATTGTGACCTAGGATGCTATATAGAGAGGGATTGGCTGCGCGCAAGCCCAATGCAATATATTAGTCCAGTACAGTGCTTATCAAAAGATGCGTGCGCGACAGAGACTCCATCGCATCGACTGTCAGGATCTTGATCCTCCTGTTCCCAATTATCATGACCCATACAAAGCGCGAGGTCGACTTCGGCTAGGTCTAATAGCCTCGCGGGCACGAATAGCCATACACCTGCTCAGTGCAAAGGCTCGCAACTAGCTCGAAGGCTCCCGTTGCTGCTTTCCTTGTCTCGGATTTGCGTCGCTGCGAAGGGAAAGTGAGACCTTTCAGCAGTCGTCTTGCCGAGAATCTCCAATCAGGTCGCAATAATCTTGACTGCTCTTGTGCCGTTCACCATGCTCTCGGGTATAAGATGGGTCCTCGCGCCTGTGGTCGTCTCCATTCTAGGATCGGTGATTCCGTGATGCTCTCTCTCCCTTCACAGATATTTCTTCGCGGCAGTCGCAACCCTCTGCCTAAACACCGGGCTCTTGATGACTTCGCCATTGCCCACAGCAAAGAAGGGATTCATAATAGTCTTGACCCATGCCTCGTATACGTCGACCATGAAGTTCTTGACAGCTTCTTCCGTGGCTGGGCTACTCGGATTGTATAAACCAGCACCTCCTCCCAAAGCAGCTCTTCCACCCGCTAGACTTCCCCTCGCGCCTCCAGCACCTCCACTCGTTAGCCCTAGACTTTCGTCGCGTGGTCTTGTGAGCAGAAGGAAGCGTGTGTTGCCGCCGGTGATCCAGCACGACACAAAGCAGTTCTGGTATTTATCGATGTGTTTAAGGTACATGGGTGCGGAGCCACTGGATGTGGAAGGGCCCCATTGCACTTCTTCGACTATATCGAGGGACGAGTGTAGAATGAACGGGACAAGGGCGCGCTCTGCGGGGGTATAGTTCGCGACACCGGTGCCGCCGCTGCGTGAGGTACCGAAGTCGTGCGTGAAGAGAGGAACATCGAGAGGCGACAGAATGGAGAACGTGTATGACATGGTGAGGTATGAGGTTGTATGTCGGTATACGTGTGGAGTGTTTGGCGTGCGCCGCGTGGCCCAGGTGGGGATGCGTGATCTAGCCTAGTACAGCCTTTCTGCTCTCACGAAAATGAAGGCGCCAGGATTCGTAATTCGTATCGTCGTAAGTCAAGCTTGGGGTTTAGCTGTGCAGCGTGTGGGGTGTGCTGGTGAGCTTCCCCACGCTAATCGGCATGTCTGCCAAGAAAGTCCGCGGGAGTGCCTTTCGAAGAATATCGCGACTTCGATTGCGCAACCCAGCATCGCCAACCCCAGCACGTCACCATGTTTGGTCCTTTCCGCCTCACAAACCCGCTATCGGGCGGTCTATTATGGTGCGACTCTCCACATTTCCCGAATTATCGACCCCACGCAATTGCTCATTGTCGCCATCGCATTTCCCGCTCCGATGCATCTTATACCAGTTACGACTTGATATGAGGAAGTGCGTGCTGACAAATTCGTAGGAAGATACCATGGCGGCTATCCAGACACCAGAAGTACAGGCAACGCGAGCGCCTACGGCACGTTGACACTGTGGTCGGCACACTCGATACCGCACTACGACGCATGGGACAGAGCATGAAGAAGGTGGAGCGCTGGAAGATGGAGATGCCGACCGAGGCAGAGATGCTTCCCAAGGACAAATACACCGTCTTCGACCGTAAGGTGAAGAGGTATCGAAAGGGAATACACAGTAAGTTGCATGCTTCTAGTATCTTGGGACAAAGCTTGGTGGCGGCAGAGGGAGAACTAAAAGCATCTGCGGTGGAGTACATCCTGAATTTGCGGTCGCTGACAGTTCACAGAGGTGCCAAAATGGACGAGAGTCAGTCAACGACTCAACCCTCCGGGTTTCTAGACGGTCCCTACCGGGAACGACGGTCGCACGTGTGTATACCATGTATTACTGTACAATTTGCATCAGATACGGCGCTATGGGAAAAGAGCAATACAACATCTCAAATCTGCACTGGGCTCTTTCGTTTCCTGAGTGCAAACATCAATCTGCATCGTTAGCGAGTTCGGCATCCCCTCGCATACAGATCGGCCATGCACACTATCGCAGAAGCTCGTCAATTCTTCCGTGCTCTACCACTTTCTAGGATATTCTTGTTCCAAATAGTCACCAACTATGTCAACGTTACCTAAATTATACACTCTGACCGCAGTAGAAATACTGGACTTGCTCAAAGCCAATACCATCACAGTTGAGACCTATGCGCAATCTGTTCTTGGCCACATCCGCGACCGGGACCATATTGTCAAGGCATGGGCCCATCTCGGTGAGTCTTGCTCTGCGCATATAAAGCACTTCACCTGAGCAAACGCCAGATCAAGAGCTTGTTCTACGCCGAACTCGAGAACTTGATCATGTGCCACAAAATCAGAGAGGACCGCTGCATGGAGTGACGATAGGTATCAAAGACGTGATGAACACGAAAGGTCATAAGGCAAAGTCTTTTGCATGCTAGATGTTGACAAGTTTCAGACATGCCCACCCAGTATGGCTCACCGATATACAAAGGACATCAATCTGGCTTCGATTCATCGGCTGTTGCCATTCTGCGATCTGCAGGCGCCCTTATCTTCGGTCTGTCAATTCACCTTACCTATGAATGATTGTTGACGTCTCCCACAGGCAAGACAACGACAACTGAATTCTCGGTCCCTAACTCAGGACCTCCAACCGCCAATCCACACGACCCATCTCGAACCCCAGGCGGCTCTTCATGCGGGTCCGCCGCCGCAGTAGCCGATATGCAGATTCCACTTGCTCTAGGCGTCCAGACAGGCGGAAGCGTCATCCGACCAGCAGCCTATTGCGGCATCTTTGCCATGAAACCCACGTACAACGCCATCCCAACCTTGGGTCAAAAGACTGTTTCTTCTACATTAGATACCATCGGCTTCTTCGCTCGCAGCATACCGGATCTGCAGTTACCAGCAGATGCCTTTTCACTCTGTGACGACCAGCATCCGGAGAAAGTGTGCTTGCGAGATGTCTCAATCGCTCTTGTCAAGACACCAATGTGGTCACATGCCGGCCCTGGTACTATACATGCCATGCAGAAAACAGCTGTGATACTGCAAAACCACGGCGTCCGGGTCGAAGAAGTGTCACTACCGGATGACTTTGATGATACAGACACTCTAACGCGCTCTCAAAACGCAATCATCGGCGCTGAGACCGCCCTCGCTTTCCACGAAGAATACCATTCGCACAAGGATGATTTGGACGTCTCGATTCGGAATCTATTAGAAAATCACTTTAAACACGCTGATGCAGAAAAAGCAAGAAGAGAAGCACTGGATAAACTCGCTCATCTGCGGACCGTATTCAACACGATAGCAGCCAAGTATTCTGTCATCATCGCGCCGAGTGCTGTAGATGAGGCGCCGATGGGACTTGGGGATATGGGCAGTCCGGTTTTCAATACGATGTGGACGGTAAGTTGACATGTCACAGGTGGTAGATGAAGACGAGTTTGACTTTTATCCAGGGTCTGCATGTACCAGTGGTACACATACCTGCTTTCGTGGGGATGAATGGCATGCCCGTTGGTGTTTCTCTCATTGCGGGTACAGGGCGCGATTGGCATCTTCTTCGGATTAGTAGAGTTCTTGGAGAGGTTCTTATGGCTGAGGGAGGGTGGCAGTCGAGGGCATCGGACGTTGACACGTTCTAGAAGGGAGTTTGTACAAGGGCGGAGTAAATTCACATTAGGCTTAGTTGACCACGACATTAATCGATAGACCAATCGACAGAAGATCAAGTTCACAGGGCAGTATTGTAGATGAATGTAACAAGGATGAGCAGCGTGAGATTCATGCTAACTGGCTATCTGGCTAGCCCGCTGACAAAACGACTGACATGTCTTCTAATCCACCCAGTGAAAGCAAATGCATAATGAAAAAGATATGCAGCAACTCCACGCTTACACCCAAATCAACAACACACCAACCGACGAACCCGTGGAACTAAGCAGTCTGCGTGCCCACATCAACACCCTCAACTCCCACCGCAGGACCAGCAGCAGACGCAGGCTGAACGGGCGCTTTCCTCTCCCCAAAGTTGTGCAACCTCTCTCCTATAAGATAAACCTCATCCCTAACGACCAACCTCCATCTCACAAGGAGCCTGACAACCGCCGAGGATGCCCACATAACCACCAAAGCAAGTCCCACAGCCGGGAAGCTGAAGCGCCAGAGTAAATTCTTTGTTGCTTCGTTTGCATTCCGGTATAGCGTTCGACTCGTGACAAACGCCAGACTGGATGGAACGGCAATAGCGACGAGGAAGAGCGCGAGCACGGGGATGAGGAAACAGCGTGTCGCGATCTTGGCGTTGGGGTAGAGCCAGCCATCTCTGATGACAGCTTTGAACGCACGTGCGGGCCGGGAATTGCGGTTCGCGAAGACGAGGCGTGCGGCGAGACGAGAGTACAAGAAGCCGAGGGTCCAGTCTTGGATGACGTGGACGACGTGGGGTTCCTTGGGGCCAAGGTAGGCGTGCAGGGGCATGAGGAAGTAGAGTTCTAGAAGGACGGCGAAGAGAAAAGGTATGGCGAAGATGAGGGTTGCCCAAACGTATGAGAAGCGGAGGGCGCGGCCACCGACGCGCGAGGTGGTTGCTGCGATGGTGTGGAGTGTGGACATGGGATCTGGGATGGAGCGATTGAGCGACGAGATGAACTTGAAGGCGTGGTAGGCGGAGTAGCCGATGCTGGCGAGCGTGTAGACGCCGAGGGAGAAGGCATGGATGTCGTTCATCTCGACGGTTGGCGGGAGGAAGAGTGAGAAGAGATAGCGGCCGAAGAGTAGTGGTAGGATCGTTACGCTTACTCCCGATAGACCCATGAAGATCCATATCGTGACGATGAAGCAGAGAATGCGCACGCGGAACCATGGTGGGATGAATACCATCGACACGAGATCAGAGTTGTGCACTCCGCCCTCATTCTCTCCATCTTTGCGAACGTTGTCGCGGTCGACTTCGACGAAGACAGGTTGGCCCTTGGGAATGCGAGCTTGATCGGAAGCAGGTGCACGAACGTATCGGCCATCATCGCCTTCTTGCGCAGGGACCTTGTCGCCAAAGAGAAAGTTGGAAAGGCGGAGGAATCCAGCGCACTTCTGGAAGCACCATTTGTAGATAGCATGCAGACCCTCGCTAGGCTTGTAGAACTTGATGATGACCGGCGTGAGGAAGTTGTAGAAGAGAAGGTCGAGCGGAAACTCCAGCGATGGTGCTTCGGTAGTCCAGTGAATTGGCAGGACGTTGGTAGTAGCACGACTCAAGGTCCATACGACACCGCCAAGGCATACAATAACGAGTGCTCCATACACAAGAGCGCTGAAGGCGATCTTGCGAAGTTGAGTCGTAACGCTACGCTCTAGGACGTCCCGAACAGGATGGAAGGTCGGATCATCTGGGTCGCGGATGAAGTACAGCACACCCTTGCGCATGATCTTGCGGCACATGGACACAAAGAGCGCGAAGTGGAACATGTAGCAGGTACCGATGAACCAATGCACGAATCCAGATGTCCATGGACTCTCTCTCGCGAACTGCCACCTGTTGTACAGCGTAGCGTTCTGGAATAGTGGAAGCATGGCCAAGTCGAGAAGCAGCCCGCAGTACAGCGGAAATGCCAACATCTCGATACTAATGATAAGGATCACCTTGAGCACACCTCCGGCTTGTTGTAGTATATCAGAAAGAATGCGTTCGATCCTTTGTCCTTGCTGTGACGAGCTGAAAGGTGTGCCGCGCCTGAGATATATCGCACCAAGAAAAGCGAAGAACCCATAGCCAGCCAGTATTGCGATTAGGCGGTCACTCGCCGTCCATCGCTCCAGTGCAGTGTATGCTGCAGCGGTGCTGCTGTTCGAGTCTAGATCAATGGTGATCTTGTACGATTTGGCCGTCCAAAGCCATGAGAGCAGAGAGCTGCACTGGCCGTAGGTCGTCGTAAAGATATCTTGAATCAACGAGGGAAGGCGTCCAAGGACCCTCAGCACAAGCTTGGGCGGCGAGTCTGCTGAAATTTCCTCGATGATGGCGTTTGCAAAGCTGCTCGTTTCATTGAGCGCAAATGAGGTCGTGTTCTGCAGGCTTCGTAGTGAAGCGTGTGCGTTAAGCGTGAATTGGGTGTAGCTGGGCTGAGACGATAATGGCGAGTCCATGAACATCTTGCCAATACGAACCATTGCACTCTCTGCAAGGGAGTATGCTGGCGTAGATACTGCACGGAGTGGACCATCTATGGTTTGAGACAGTTTCCCCAAGGAACACAGCTTGACCAGACTGGAGATGGCATAAGAACTCCAGTACGTCGTACCAGCTACGAGGAAGAGCGTGACGTCGACTATGAAGTCCGTTACTGCAGCGACCGCCTGTAGAGGGATTTTGAGGAGTTCGATAGGGCTTCCCACCATTATTATGACGAACTTACCCCAGAGATAAGGAACCCATACAGCGCACGCCAATGTGCAGGTGATCAGCACGGCACTGAACAGGGCGTTCTGGAAAAGACCGACAATAGGCCCTTGCATACCAATGAGCTCAAGTATACCTTCCAGGTCTTCAGCGTCTTCAATCGCTTCCTGGTCGTTGACATCTATGCCAGCTTGTGCAGCAGCAGCAGCAACTTCAGGATCTTGGGGCGCAGCATTGCCATGATCCCGCGGCTCGTTCCCCAAGAAGGGCACAAAAGGCGCTTCGTCTGCAAGATCGCGCACGATATGCTCATCGTTGCCTCCCTCTTCGACAGGTTGAGCCATCGGGGCTATGTCTCCAAACATCCAGTCCAATACTTGGTTCACTGGATTTTGTGGAGGTTGAGGCGCTGCTGGTTGTGCGTTGGCTGGAACCGCAGGCTGGTCGTCCGGGTGTTGCTGACCCACTTCAGAATGCTCCTGTTCTTCGCGGGTGGTTGAGTCTTGGTCAGGTTGGCTACTGCTGTTGTCGACTTCAATGGTAGTATCGACCGTAATTGAGTTGTCTAGATGAGTGGAACTGCTTTGTGCAGAAGACGTTGACTCGGGTAGATTATCCTCCACACTGGCGTCGACAGCCTTAGCTTTACCCTTGTCGTGAACATGTTCTCCTTCCAGCGCTTGGTCGGAGTCATCTTCTACAGCCTCAGGGACTTGCTGCCAGCTTCCACTGCTGTGCTCGCTACCCGGTTCGTGGTCCGATGCAGCCTCGGGTCCTTGATCGGCTCTTCGGTCTGCGTTGTCGTCGTCTTCCCACGATTCGGGTACGTTTTCAGCACTTTCCTCGTTGGAAGCTGACGATTGTGGTACGTTCTCGAAAGACCATGTATTACCCTCTTCTAGGCCGCGACGGATTTCTGTCGCGATGAAGGATCTATCGCGTGCTGGCATGTTTGGTCTGTGCGAAGATGAAGACGATTCGGAACCTTCAAGATCTGGCGCTACGCCTGAAGGTTGGTGGAGTGACGAGGTTCTTGCAGGAAAGCTTGAGCTGCTAGCCTCGCCGTCTTCCATCATTGCTCGCTCAATAGCCTCGTTAAAGCTCTGGGATGGAAATCCATCGTCATAGGCATCCACAAGATCATCCGATTGCATCATCGACCTCAAATCACCGGAGAGGCCTTCGCGTACTATGTTGCGAACAAGCTCGTCGCGTTCTCGGCGGAGCGAAGAAGACCGGCGAACGCGGCGTATCGTAGGTTCAGCAGCCTCGGGCTCATCATTCTCGCGAGTGAAGTCTCCAGGGGCAATTGGCTCGTTTTGGTCAGTATTTTCAGGCTCATGAGCTTCTTCCGCATCCGCAGCCTCCCCAGCCACTTCAGCATCCAAAGCATCTAAAGCGTCTTCCAGCTCGCCCTCATCAACGACCACGTTGTCAACGAGAGCCTCCTCTTCTATGATGGCAGCCCTCTGCGCAGCAACGTTGTCACCGAGGGCAACCATATTGATGACAGGTTGTTGCTGGACCACCCACTCCCTGATCAAGAAGACAAGGATAAACGCCACAACAACGAGTAGAGTGATGATCTGCCCCTCTATCACGTCAACAATAAAGCGATTGGCGCTTTGAGACTGGAACCAGTTGAAGAAGGGGACATCGGAGAGTAGCGACGGACTACGAATACCGAGGTGGTCCGAGGTAGTATTGGAAACGGTGCCGTTCTTGTCAACGACAGATACATGAGTAGTTATTCTGTCGGCTTGTGCAAGCTGGGAAAAGGGGAATGGGACCCCGAAGAAGACTCGTTTGGCATAGGTCCAGAGGATGGATTCGCTAGTCGTGGAATTGTTTGGAGTATATGTTATCTTCATGGGCCCGACGGTACTTGCCACATGCACAGTCGAGTTGCTGCTCTTGGCGGTATCGAGTGCGGAGCGTATCAAGTCGATATCGCTAGGGGCCAGTCCTCTACCAGTCGCGGGCATTACTGACGTCTCAGGTGTGTCGGCAAACATGTCTTGTGACCAGCCACCATCGCCGACCCAGAACAGGCTGCGCCATACGACGCGCATGCACCAGGGTAGTAGGAAGAGCCAGACGGCGCCCA